AGAGAAACTTCATCCATTTGCTTCCACTTATCCTTTTCAAGGTGCTGGAGTCTATCCCAGCTGTCATAGGGCGAGATACAGAGGTATACCCTGGAAAGGTCGCTAACACACAGAGACAGACAACCATTCACACACAATCAATTAACCCATCCCTACAAACTGCATGTCTCTGCAGTACCCGGAAGGAACCCACGCAAACATGAGGAGAACATGCAAACTCCACACAGACAGGCTCTGGCCTGATGGTGGAATTGAACTCAGGACCTTATTGCTGTGCAGCAACAGTGCTAACCACTGTGCCACTGTGCTGACAAACTTTGCACTTGAAATGATCACCATTTAAAAAAATGTTACCCCCAGCACAGTTTATGGGCATCTGCACCAAAAGATGCTCTTCTAGTTAAATGGTAAACGGACTCATTCTTGTACAGCGCTTTTTACTCAAAGCGCTGCATGCAACATGCCTCATTCACCCGATCACACCCACTCATACAAGCACTTCTAAACCCAAGTGCAAACTAATCTACATTCACACACATGAACACATCGGAGTATGAATGTGAGTATGAATCAGCTCTGACTCACTTTAATCAGTGTTATAAGTGATGCACATGTTACTGTACATGTTTAACTGTTTGTATATGTACGTGTTGAGTTCCACCTTGTTCTCTGGCCTTTTTGCTTGTTCTTCTCTGCACTTGGGTGATCTTTACACTCCTGGAGTTGCTGCTGCACCCTCCACCTCCACTATTTCTGTGGCTCTGCCCCCTCCACCTTCTGCCTACCTCTTCTGCTCCATCCCCACAGCTTCCCCACAGGAGACATCACAGGAGACATCACAGGAGACATCTCCTGCATCCTTCTGAGCGACCCTGAACATTCCCTGACCCCTTCAGGGGGAGTGAGAAAGAGCCCAGGCTGAGACATGGATCAGTGTCCTGTGGGCCGGTGAGGGGCAGCAGCCTTATTAAGGTGGCTGTGAAGGAGCTGCATCCTGTATCCTTCTCTTCCATGTCGATGTTTAGCATTTATCTTTATCACATCTTAATTTGAGGAAATTGTCTCGTTTAAAGCTGAGTAAACCCAAAACATTTAACTTAATCACCTTGTCAAATGACAACATTTCTTATATAAACATTTAAAAATTGGTTATATTCTTGTCTGATAACAGTAATAAACTCTGCTGGCTTCTCACAGTTCTGGGTCTTTCTGATGGTTTATGTTTTGAGTCCTTTGTACTGTGTTTGTTATTTCCTGTGGTTTCAGTTCTGGTTATCACAGGTTTGTTAGGTTTTATAATGTGGCTTCCCTGTGTTCCATGCTGTGTCTACTGCGCCTTTCTGTC